AGAAAGATGGATGTAAACGAAATAAGTTTTGTCTTCGGCAGAAGATTCTTCCATTATTCGTCCGAAATTAATATTCTGCGTCCAGCAGTATAGGCTAAATACCAAATATTTGTATGTTGTATCTCTAATTTATAAGCAGCAATTGTTGCTTATTTTTTAAAATTTAATTTTTTTAATTATAATTTTACAGTGTTGAGCATAATCTTGTATGTCTTTACAATTTAAAAACTCCTTGAAAATTTTTTTTTCTTGCAATAGCGAACCCTATTTGCACAAATTTACCAGGTGGACAACAAAATGAATTATATCCCTTTTGCGGTTTTTTATTCCATTCATTAATTTTTTCCTTTTGCTGCTTTTTTATTAGTTATTAACTGTTAATTTGTTTTTTATTTGTTAATAGTTAGCTTGTTTTTTTCTTCTTGTTAATAGTTGTTTGCTTGTTTTTTTTTAATCGTTATTAGTTTTTAGCTTGTTTTTTGTTGTTATTCATTGTTAGTTTCTTAGCATTAATTGTTAAATGTTTTTTTTTTGTAGTTCCTTGTTAGCTATTTTTTTTCTTGCGAGGTAAGCGTCTTTTGTTAAAACAAAATGTTATCTATAAGAAAAAACGAGAACTATGATCTCGCTCCAAAGAAGAAACGATTATTTCTTCTTCACAGGATTCGGATTATTTCTTCTTGATTATATTATATAGATTATTATTTTGATTAGTAAAATTTCTTAAGATGGGTCAGTTTTAAATTCACCCCATCATAATCTACGATCGAAACTTGACTAAATTTATTGTTTTTTTTTTTTAAAATTAACAGTGAAATTGAATTATAGTAATATTTGGGGGCCATATTGGAATTTCCGAAAGAGATCTCCGAAGTTCGGCGTTTCGTGAGTGTCGGATTTAGGGTCCTATAACTTCCTTTTCTGTTCGCTCCAATTACAATTGCCAAGGCGCTAAGTAGATTTCTAGCTTGCGATTTTAAAGCTGGGGGTGGATACAAGATGCATACCTTTTAAATTTTCTCATTATGCGATGTTTTTTTAAAATTATTATTTCGTTTATTTTCTTATAGGCTTCTGCCGAAAGTTTGCTAAGAATTGGCGATGTTTTGCAGCAGATCGCGATATGGGCGAACATTTCGTCGACTTCGTTAATTTTTTTAAATAGTCCTTCTCTCAGAAAATTATTTAATCTTAAATAACTTTCCTTGACAAATTTTTTTGCTTCTAAAAAATATTTTGTCAGAAGCGCCGCATGTAGGAAAAAAACAACTTTTTTTAATAGCGCCGCGGCACTTCCGTCGATAAATACGGTAGATAGATACGAAAACTATTCAAAGAAAAAGATCAAGAAAATCTGTTGGATTATGGAAATTTTATTTTAAGTTAAGTGGAACCAAATGCATGAGTGTTGTCAGGATATAAAGGATTAATCAAATCTGCGAGATATGTATCAGTATCCTCAAATAATATTTACTCTTAAAACATACTACAGTGGAAAGTCGCATATCCGGAATTAGCGGGACTTCCTGAAGTCCGTATATTTGATTTTTCCGTATAATTGACCTCCAAGGTAAACAAAGCTTAAAATGATCTGAATCTAAGAAGCAGAAAATAAATAAACATTATTTTTCGGGCAATAATGTTTTAGTATTAGAATGATATCTAATCAATCATAATCAAAATATTAGAAAAAAATAATTATTGCTACTTTAAATATAAATATAGAAAACGAAAAAAATTCACAGTTATGAAAATATTAATTGCTCTCTCCGCCATTTTGAACTAGAACGATTCAAGCAAGAAGGGGAAATTCCCATCATTCATTAAGGCGGGTACGTGGAGAAGAAAAATTCCTTCCCTCCTTACTTGTCATTCAAGTTGAGGGCGGGGTAGTGACAAATTCTTATTTTCTCTCCCATCATTGGCTATCAAGAAAGCAAAAAAGGCGTGGCATGCTGATTGGGTTCTCTTTATTTTTTCTTGTGTTACTAAAGGGGATTCCCCCTCCACTTTAACATTTGCTGTGTTTACCCTTTTTCACAGTATTTCTTCTTCCCCTGACACTCAAATAAAAAGGTTCCAGGAAATGAATATTTTAGGAAAGAATTTCTCTGCATAGGAAAGAAGGGGGAGGGAGGGGACTCAGTTGTGCTCTTTTGAAAACAAATCTCCCCCTCCCCCCTTTTCTGCATTCCAGAGGAGGAGCGTCATGGTCTTAGTAGATCTTCTGTTCTCTTCTCTGTTGATTTATGGGTTCAATGCATAGATCTCTAGAAGCTGAAAAGGGAAAAACCTGTCAAGACTTCGTTTTTTTTTTTTTTTTTAAATTAGAGGGGAAGATGAAGAAATGTTTGTTGATTTTGATTGTTAAAAAGTGTCCGGGAAATCGACCCTTCCGGAAAAGGGACGTCCGGATATGGGACGTTACACTGTAGAACATTTGTTACATTAAGTTATTAATTTTTAAAAATCACCAATTCACTTCAAACTGACTTTTCTTTTAAAAGATAATATTGAAATATAAAGGGGAAAAAAGTCAAGGATAGTTAATTATATACAAATAAAAATTCAGATAGAAAAATTATGCAACTTGTGAGAAAAATAAAATCAAAAATATCTTTTTTTTTTTCAGTATTTTTAAATTTATTTCTGTAATACTGTAAGCTTCCGGAGAAGCTCAGGAGCTCCTATGTTATATAATATTTCTCAACATATTTTGTTGTTTGACAATTTCTGAATCAAGAACATCCAGTTCTGTTGCAGCAGTTTTCGACAATTTAGATTTTCTTAATTTCAAATAATCTATCTTTTCTTTTATTCGTTTTCTAGAAATTTCAGCTTTTTTATTCTCTTTGTTTTTCTTTTTTTTTGGTTTCTAATGCATGTCTCCATCTTGTTCTAGATCCTTTTACAGCATCTAGCATTTCTTCATTAATGTCTATGTTTTTTTATTCCATTTATAAATGAAACATAATCATACACACGCCTTTGTGAAATAATAGTCTTCATTGACGTTTTCAACCAATAAGCTTTTATTGATTGAAAAACCCCCTTCGACTGTTGCGGTACCATGAGAGAGGATAAGAAATTTTTTTATAACCTCCCACAAATTTTTAATTTTTTTACTCCGTGTAAATATTTCGAAAAAAAATTATCTAATCTCTGTTGCTGTGGATTAAACTCTAAGAAACTCTTCTGCTCTTCTTTTTTTTGGCAGCATCACAAAACAGTAAAAATTCCTTGTTTGCTTTTTCTGCTGTTGTTTCAGCTACCCAGTTATTAACATGGAGAATTTCCAGACAGGTATCCATCTTTAGCTGAGCAATGGATGAATATTGAATGATCAATTCTTGAATTGAAATGCCACGTGCCATACTATACAACAATGGACTTTTTTCCAGTATTTTTTCGACCGTCGTCAAAAGGAATTTTCGACATTCTAACTTGAAATATCCCTTTTCTTTCTCACAAATTTTTGTCATGTTCAGATATTTACTTGCTGCAAAACCTATATTCACATTATTAACACTTAATAGATTGTCATTGCTTGTTAAGCCAATACTTGCTATTTTCCTTGCAGTTGCAGCATTGTCTATAACCGACTTTTGTACACAACGCCGCAAAAGATTTTGTGTTAGTTCCAATATACTGGAATATAAGCATGGACTGAGACATTTGGAGGTCTGAAAATTTAAAAGAAAAGGTTGAAATTCTTCAGAAATTAGCTTAAAGAATGCTAATTTTGGTAGCATTATCGGATCCTTAACACAGTCTTCGAAATTTTTTATTGAGATTCCGGCTGGCTGAGAATTTTTCTTTTCTTCTATGTACCTTTTAATGATGTCAAAAATTAATATGGCTCGCTCCACACCAGGAAGATTTTCCAGCCACCTGATTTGGCAGAACTTTTTTGGAAAAATGTTGCTACCAGATATGCTAGTATACTCTGCTCGTAAACTAGTTATTCACACAAAGAGCAATAAACCTAGCAACCATATCAAAAATTCCTTATCATTGGATAAGCAGGAGGAAAATTGCTATCAGGACAGGTTCTACCAGGGAAAGAGGAATGTTATTATGAGGAAATTACATATTTTGAATTACAGAATTTTTTGTTGAAACTTCACTTTTGCCTGTCAGTCTTTGAATGAACTATAGTTTTCTTTTTTTATTTTCCTAACTTTATGAATATGTAAGAAAAATCCTGACTTTTTAGCTTAATTTAAAATATCCTGACTTTTGCAGGTTTTCCTGACAGTGTAGGAACCCTGCATTAAGAATCAATGAAAATAAAACTAAATATATGATTTGCACAAAAGCTGGCTATGAAGAAACACAGTTTGAAATTGGAGCATACAAATTCGAAGCCATTGATAGCTTCATCTATTTGGGGTCTAAGATTAACAACAAAAACGACACTACACAAGAAATACACACGAGAATCACAATGGCCAATAAGTATTTTTTGGTCTTCAGCCAAGCCTAATAAAAAGAAAAACAAAGGTGTTACTCTATAAATGTCTTATACGATCAATGCTTACATATACATGTGAGAACTGGACAATGACCCATGGATATGAAAATATAATAGCTAGATTTGAGAGAAAAATACTGTGAAGCATTTTTGGTGGAATAAGTGAAAACGGTACCTGGTTTAGAAGATCAAACACGGAACTTTACGAAGCATATAAAGAACCTGATGTCATTAAATTTATCAAAATTCAAAGGATTAAATGGGCAGGCCACATTATAAAAGTGGAGGATAGCAGGACAACCAAAAAAGTTTTCAGTGCCAGGCCAACAGGTACAAGAAAAAGAGGACGACCAAACCTAAGATTTTTAGACTACCTTGAAAAGGATCTACAAGTTTTAAAGATAATAAACTGGAGAATCTTGGCTGAGGGAAGAATGTCTTGGCATAGGCTTGCTGAAAAGGCCAAGGCCCATCCTGGGCTGTCGTGCCAATTAGAAGAATAATAATAATACTTTTTAAAGTTTACCTCAAAGAAAGATGCGTTGATGACAACACTTGTATCTTGGGAAATAGAATGAGTATGTTCAAATATTTGCTGCAAGCCTCGTGGTACTAATCCTTTAGAATCTTCATCTTGGGGAATAGATGCGGTTCCCATGGTAAATGTTTTTCCAGATCCAGTTGAGCCATATGCTAAAATGGTAACATTGAAACCTGAAATAGATTTTGACAAATACTAAAGTCAAAGTTAACAAAAGTTAGTAAAAAAAATATTAAATATTGTTTTAAAAATTTTTTTTAAAAGCATTTGCAACGAGTATAAATACAAACATGAAATAATGCAGTTTTACGGCTGATTTATTACGATAAGATAATTTTATTTTATTTACATCGCAATTTAACATTTTAAATAGCAATGGTGTAAGTTACATAGCATGCAGAATTTTTTTTTCTAAATAAAAGACATTACACGGGAAAAATGTTGCATTAAGATCATGCTTTTAAAGACAATTCACGTAATCGAAAGGAATGCTAAGATAATAAAGCAGGCTTCCTACTCTTTTAACAAAGCAAAAATTAAGCACTTTTAAGGACCTTTTCGTGAAAAAATTTAAGACTTTAAAAATAGAATGATTGTTAATCATCGAATATATATATACTACCAGTGACAGTTCCAATTATTTACATTTATTAAAACAAATCAATAAATAAAAAAAAAAAACAATTTTATTATAATGTAAGCACTGATATAATTGCATTCATCAACAGGACTAGCCAAAGAAGTACCAGGTAATTTTTGCAAACCCGGGTTAGTTTTTTAAAAAAAAAAAAATATCAGATCGTTCAAGGTTAACGTCATCTATGAAACTAATCCATATTCAATTCTTAATGATTTCATAGAAATTAAAATTTTAAACTTTTTTCATGTATAATTACATTTAAAAAAAGTGTAACTAAAGAAATTTGGCAAAAAATTTATCGCAACAAGTTTTTATATTTCGCTACTAGACCTGCATCATATATTCATTTGTGGGCCAATCTTGCTGAATATTCAGTTAGGCCAAAAAAATTCCATATTTTCTACTAATAAAATGTTTCATTTATAAGGGTATATATTAAAATAATTAATACTAAAAAGTTAAATTAGACACATGCTTGAGAATAGTTTTCTTAACTGTCCCATGTAAAATTAAGTCGCATTTTGAGTAAAAACAGGCGATACTAATATCTAAGCACCTTAAATCATTCCAGATTTTTTTCATAAGGCTTTGCTCAGTATATTTTTTAAATTCATTGCAATAAATGCTTTTATGAAAATTTTTATAGAATAAAAATACAATTAGATTTGAGAATATTTATAATTTTCAAATTATAATTTGTTTTTTATTAGTTCTTATTATTAATTTTTTATTAATTAGTAAACATGTAAACTAAAGGGTCTAAAACAATTTTTCAAAGGTATCAACATATTTCTATGGTCAGAAAATTAATAAGGTCCCTTAATTAACAAATACTGATAAATTATTTATATTTTAATCATTTATAGAGTTTTACTAGTAATATTTCTTTATCATCTACTATCATTCGTAATATTCTCTAACTATTATTATGATTTGATATTTTATCTTTATCACAAATTAACAATTGAAAACTGAAAGTGGTATAATTTCATTATAAAATAATCCAGTAATATCACCTTATCAGGTAATGTTTTGTAAAAAAATATTGAAATATTTTATGAAAAACACATTGAAAACGGTATATAACTTAACAATTTTGAAATTATTACTAAGCAACAAATGTGTTGTATTTATTTTTATGATGAGCTTTACACAAAATTATTTCCAACCAAGCCTGTTATTAGGAATTAACTGTACATGATAACTAAACAATCTGGTGAAAAACATAAACTATTTATAAAACAACCAAAAATTGAATATAAAGCTGGAAATTATATTTTTCCTCAGTTCACATAAGAGACAATTATTACTTGAAAAACTACCTGTTTAGGATATTAAAACTACTGAGAATATACATTAATATTTCATTTCTTTTAACAAATACTGTTATGTGATTTATAGCAAATATATCAGTAATATTACTTTTTAAATTATATTGGAAAAAAAAACTTTAACAATGGACCGAATCATTATGTTCATCAGGGGTCTGTCTAGGTTTTTCTGAGAGGTACCTATTTTGTGAAAATTTAGACATAATTTGTGAAAAATAAAAAATTATATTTAAAAATCAACACAAAAATATGGTACAAATATGGATTTATCGTTTCTTAAGGGATACAAAAATAAAGTTTCAAGAAAAATTATTTTGTGAAACTACCGATTTTCCTAAAATTGAATTTGTGAAACTACCGTTTTTCCAAAAGTTGAATTTGTGAAGGTACCGCTAAACGGTAGTAAATTCGGCCTGGACAGACCCCTGTTCATATTATAGTCTAATCTAAGAGCCCTCTGAAACATATCAATAACAGTGAAGTAGAAATATCCGTCATCTATTGAAAAAGTTTTAATTTTAATAATTCAGTAAATATTTGCATAGTATTCAAAATAGGAAAAGAATTTTCAGATTTATAACCTTAACATACAAAAAATGCTATTTTAGTTTTTAAAAATTACACGACAATCAGCAACTGATTAGATAATTGCTTTTTATTTGATAAGAATTTTGCATTTTATAGCACTAATAACAGCAATTATAAATAAAATTTTGATGATGAGTTATAACTCTTTTTCCAAAAAAAAAAATAATAAAATAAATAAAATAATTAAATCCCTTTTCAAGTGGTTGCTTTTGTTTGCTATATTTAGTCGTTAGTCCATTTTCAAACATCTTGTGACAAATCCTATTTTTTCTTTGTTGCAAGCACAGAATGTAAGTTTTGAATATATTCCCTTCCAGTTTCTCTGATATTGTAACACTTACATATACTAATAATCGTCGTTGGAAAAACAGTCACCTTTATAGTAACTAATTTAAAAAAAATTTACTTCTTACAAGAATTGCGATAGTTGATCTTAATATTGCGTGAATATGAATAACAATTATGGATTTTGGAAATCATGATTCATAATTTTCAGATCACGTAAATACGAATCATGATGCGTAATTTTTAGATCGCATAAATAAGAATTATGATGCAGAATTTTTAGAATGCGTGAATGCGAATCCCAATGCCTTATTTTAAAATCACGTATAAAGACGAAAAATCAATATTTGATATTATAAACCGCACGAGCAAATCAAGACATGGAATTTTAAACTTGCATGAATACGAATTGCTACATAGGTTTTTAAGAAGGCGTAAATACAAAACAAAATATCGAATTTTTAAATCTCGTATATCTCGTAAATAAGAATGGCAACATACAATATTCAAATTGCGTAAATAAGAAGCGCAACACGCAAATATGAAAAGCTATGTTTGATATTAAAAACCTGTGAATAAGAATCGAGATATTAGCAGATTCCAGGCTTGGGACCTCTAAAAGGCTTGTCATAAGCAGCGTTGTTTGAACTACGAAAATCGGATCTATCTGGAGGGCTGGTAAAAAATTCGGAAAATCTTATCTGCTGCGTGTAAAAGGGAAGAAAACAGCTAAAATAAGTAAAAATGAGAAAGGATTCTGTTTCTCTTTGAAAATTGGTGAATTTTCTGAAAAAGTGGAATACTTATAAAAAAAAGTGAAATTTTTAGAAAATCTGAATTTTTGATAAAAAAGCTGAAATTCAAGAGATAAAAGTGAAAAAAGCGGAAATCCGTTAAAAAGCGGAAAAATCTCATCCCTGTGAATAGGGATTTTATTAAAATCTAAGGATCTTTTAATTGAGTAGATTTAAATATTGTGTAACAATCTCCTTATCCTTAAGAAACAAAAATAATAGCATAACAATCTAAACTTAAAAAAAAAATTTACAATGCAACTAAACAAATTATAAATAGTTAACAAATATTTAACTTTCTTGTTAGAAGCAAATCATGCATTCTCATTTAGTATTCAGGAAAAAACTTGAGGTTTTCAATGAAAACCCAATAAAACCCAGGTTTTTGATGAAAAACATAGGTGGGCAGGGATTTTTCAAACTCTGTTTCGGACAGATCTGTTTAATTTTTAATACAATCATGAATATTAAAAAAAAAGGTTACTGTTTTTAATAAATTTACAGTTACTTATTACTTATCAAAATATTATACAAATTAAATTGATATTAGGAAATAGTTTTCGTTATGGATACTAGTTCAAAAAATACTTTTTTTCTTAGGGTTTTATTTAATTCCTATAAGCAGATGACCAGTAGAACTGAATTTCTTGAATTCTGTAAATTTTGAAGTTCAGTGTAGGTCTTCTACTTAGGTACTTTAAAATTGCACTCCCTCCCCCCTAAAATAGCATTATGAAAGAATCAATATATTAGTAAAAGGACATGCTTTCTTCTCTTTGCTTGTAGCCCCCCCCCCAAGCACATTCATTTCTGTTTCTCTAAAATGATGCATGGTTTAATTCTAGGTGATAAAAGAACGGTATTTTGTTTTAAAATATTGAACTGAAAAACTATTCCGATCAACTCTAGTTATGGGGAAAAATTAAGGACTTTTAAAAACCTTGTATCTAAATTAAGTACTTTTAAGGGCCCTTATATTCCAAAATAAAAATTAAGCAGTTTTTAAGGACTTTTAAGGACCGTGGGAACCCTGTAAAGATTAAGCTAAGATGAGGGCAAAAAAAAGTATTAACTGATCCCTGGTTACTAGAACTTTTTTCAAAATAAAATGGTGGTAAAAAAAGAAATTAAAGTTTTATTAAATATAAAATAAATAATTTAAGGTGAAAATACATACCCTCAAATAAATGTTGTATCTTCTCCGACACTAGTCCTTTATACACATCTTCATTAGAAGTCTCAGGAGGAAAAACAATGTCGAAAGAAAATGACGCATTTCTAATCTCAATGGCTGTACCTTGCTGATTTAAGTCTATATCTTCGTTCATGCTTTCACCAAGAAGTGGAGGACGGACTCGAATAGCTACCTTAATTGCCGCTTCCGTCATCTATTGAAAAAGTTTTAATTTTAATAATTCAGTAAATATTTGCATAGTATTCAAAATAGGAAAAGAATTTTCAGATTTATAATTAGATTGACTTAAAAAGTTCTCAAAGTATGTCAAAATACTCAAAGTAAAAAAGAGTCCAATTCTTTGATGTTAAGGTTATGACAACTCAAATAATTAAGATTGAGTCTTAGTACAAGGAAATCTGATCATTACATCAAAAGTTATTTAGGGTGTTCACTTTACTTTGCACACTGTACAATTCTAAACAATTTTTAGGTTAGAATAATAAAAAATAAGACATCAAATATTATTCACAATTTAAGAACTGGCAGCTTTATTTCTGTTCAGATGATTTCAGTATGATAATTTCTCAAGGAATTTAAGTATATATTTCCTAACAAATAAAATTCGTAATAATAATTCGTAGCTAGTGTTCATTTTTCGATAAAATAAGCAAAGTTTTGTCTTTTAAGATTAGTTTGATTTAATATAAATGGTAGGGCCAGCTGGTATGAAATCACTTCACAAATAAGAACACTTTAATGAACTGTATAAATAAAACACTAATTTATTATCTCCTCACATGGTGTTCTCTCACTCGCACACAACGATGATCTCTCAGAGCTCTTCAGGAACACATTTCCAAAGCTCGTATAGATGGCTCTTTAACGATAAATATTTATTATTATTTCAATCACATATCACATGGTATTTGGAATGGATTAGACATATTAATTTTACATACATTAATAGTGAATAGAACAACATCTATACATATAGTACATGCTAAACATATTAGATTTCTAAAAAATAAATATTTACATTTCCTGAAGGGTAGAAACTGAAACTCGCAATGGAGACAAACTACACAGTACACTATCAGAACACAACTGAAAACGAATCTAGAAAAACAAATCTAGCGGTTGTAGTAAACCTGAACGTTGCCAATTCAAGAATGAAATGCTATACATGGAACTTTCTATTTAGGTAAGCTAAAAGCTGAACTTTTCACCATAGAAATTCCTTACCATAAGGACGGTGTTTTATCCGTTAAAAAAGTGTATTATTAGGAACGATTCAGATTAAATAATTGAAGTATCCTGCTTCGCTATGTTTACTTTGTCAATTTACATTAAATCTGGCAACTATTATTTATGTAAACTTTTATTGGCATGATCTAAAATATATAATTATTATTGTTTTTATATATAAATACAATTTGTATGCTTCTATTGTGAGCTCATTTCTTATTTTATTTAAAGAATTGCAAACAGGTTAGCACTCAACTTATATGTACAGCCATTTCAGATTTTTTAACCACACTTTCCAAATGCCGGTAAGATTACTCTTCCCTCTCTTATTACAAAATATTTTTTACGAATTACCTCATTAAATATAGCAAATTTATTTGCTTGATTTTCAAACCAGTTATTTTTGTTGCACACATATGAAATTACAGTCGCTATTACTCGTAACTACGCCTAAATGAGGAATTTTTATACTTTCAGAATGGATGGTGTTTTCAATAGAAATGTAAACAATCTCAAGCTCGGCACTTACTCTAGTTTTGGTTAAAAAGTTTGCAGCTGCTTACTACATGTTATTCTGATAGGCGATGTTTTCAAACGGATAATTTTGTTTTCAATAAAAGAAATAAATTAGATACTTTCTGAGCCCAGTCTGCCATATTTCATAAGATATTAATGTTAATATGTAATTCTCTGCTGAGTTTGAAGTGAAAATTTGTTTTAGTTTTTTAGAGATATATTGTTAAAAAAGGTGACATGGTTGCTAGATTTTGAATAACTCGCTTTTTTGGCAGTCTTGATATGGCCTCTTTCCATAAGTTTATTACTGTTTGTTCTTGTTGCAAGCTGTGCACCATCTTACGTTAGTGTTAACACTTTTAGCATTGTAAACACCAGTATTGTTAGCATTGTAAACACAAGTAATAAGTAATCAAATACATTGTTTGCAAGATTCTCAAAACACAATGATGCCAAATGGCTTTAAAATACAACGGAAACAGTAACACGGAAATTTAGGCGGTACCGAGCTTGCAGCGTTCCCTAGTGTAGGAAACACCATCCATGTAATTTTATTATATTAATTTTTAAAAATATCAACGATTTTTGTAAATTATTATGCATAAGTATTGTGTTGTGCATGCTTTCTGATTTCTATTAGTAGCAGGGTTGGGTTTTTGACGTCAAAAAGTGGTTTTTGACATGACAAGGGTATAATACTGGTTTAAACCGTCAAAAACCCGTCAAAAATGTCAAAAACTTAAGTTTGCCAAAAAAATATATAAACTTCAAAACTACCAACAGTTGCCATGCATTATATTGAAATTTAATTATACTATAGGTAATCAGCAGGTTTTAAAATATTTTTTAATTAAAATTAAGGTAAAATAACAGATTTAAAATCTCAGAAATTTATATTCAAATGCATGTGCAGAAAAATTTTGCACAAAATTTTTTTAAATATTTATATTTTGAAAAAAAAAATTTTTTTTTTTGATACTTAAGAAAATTAAAAGTTTATTACTATGCATTTTTGACATATAAGGAACATATAACTAATATTTATAAGGAACTTACAAGTTATGTTGTATAAATACAAACTAGATACAAGTGTATAAAAAATTTTTTTTAATGTTATACCGAATATCTTTATTATCCAGTATGTTAATTTGAATTTAAAAGTAGTTATATTTATGAATAATGATAAATATAATTCATATTGTTTATTATATTTATTTATAATTATTACACTTATCATTTTAAAACAATTTTTATCTCTTAATTTTTTTTTCTCCACTTGTATTAAGAATACAAATAATGCATATCTTGAAAGCAAGAAGTAATTATTCAACAGCTGAATATTTAGATATTCAACAAAACTATATCGTATTCAGCAAAATGAAATTCACAAGTATTTGGATAAACTAAATTTTCAGCATAGTAAATGAATAGGCTGAATATACTGTAAATCGACACTAACTACTCTGTGTATTTAACAGAAAGCACTTAAATTTGTATTGTCTTATGTTAAAAAGATTATTAAGAAGATTTAAAAGAATATTAAAAAGATTTTTCTTTAAAAGATGTCTAATGTACAAAACTGCTAATGTTTATCTTTAAAAATGTCTAATTTTTAGTATAATCTATACTATACACTAAATTTGGTTATAAATAAATTTCTTAATAATATCACTGCAGATTTTCAATAACACATGAAAATGAATACATAATATTACAAAAGATGTGAGTTTTCAAAAGTACAAGATTTTGGTTACTATTCAAAATATAGGAGTTTCTTCAAAATTTTAAATTTATTTTTTCTAGAACATATTTAGAAACACTATCCTTTAAAAAATATATAAATTTTATGTATTAATTAAATTTCACATATGAATATAGGTTTTTGACATTTTCGACATTTTTGACAGTGAGGTTTTTGACGTGACGGTTTAAACCATGGTTTAAACTGTCAAAAACTGTCACATGTCAAAAACCTGCCAACCCTGATTAGTAGTAAACATGTCCTTTTGAAATATAATTTATCTGAAAGTGCTAAAATAAATTGAAAGATATATTATGTGTATTGATTCTTAATTATATGTGTTTTAAGTTTGGTTGGATGTTTCAAGAATCAGGGATGCTAAAACATGGAGGCACTTCTTTTTGTAGTTATCAATATCTTTTATTGCTTTTTTTAAAATTTTAATTCTTTTATTAAGGCTATTGGTAACTTCTGAAAGTGACAGGCAGATATCTGTTATTTTGTTGAAGGAATATTTTACCTGTAAAAGGGTTTTTTGGACAATTTTAGAAAACTTACCTTTTGCCAATTGGAGATTATTTCTGCTACTTAGCATCAGATCTTATTTCCTTTACGTCATGTACCATCATTCTTTCATTCTGAAAGTTTTGAATATGTAATTTAGGAAGACATAGATATACAGCTGACCGACTTATTTTAGAATTTAAGAATCAAAAATAAAACATTCTATTCCATAATGTTTTAATACTGTCTATAATTTAATTTTAATTAAATTCAAGAATTTTAATTTTTTAACTGTTGAGATATGTTTTCGCTGTAGATTATGGATAGATTAGGTGAACCATTAACATATGGAATATGGGTTATTAGTGCTGTGGTTGTTTATTATTTTAATAGATTATTAATATTGGCATTCTCTACTCCAGGAGTAAACAATTGTTTAGGTACTTGAGCTTCTCTGTTTGGTCACACAGTTTGACCAAGGGTATTGAGGACAATACCATCAAGAAATTGCCAACCATGAATCTATATAAATTCAAAACTCTATGATAAAAATTTTCAATATTGCTAAAAAATATGAATTCCTTACACATTTGCTATGTTGATAATAGAAAAAAACCTCTTTAAGTTCAATACATTTATTTCTTGATAAACATTGATTTTATGAAATACTTTGATTACCACTTGTTTTCTTTCTTAGATTCAAAAATTCATTTTTTTCCCTTAGATTTTTAAAAAAAATAATTATTTTTTGAGTTTTAAATGCTTCTTCGAATTCCTGTCCTTAAAGACTTTTCTTGAATAATCTTATAAGCCATTTCTTGAAGCTCTAATTAAGAGATCTGTTTGAAAATAAGTTTCCTGAACTTAAATAGGCATGTGAAATGTGCGTGCATTGATAAGAATAAGAGAGTAGTGGTATTGATAAAAATAAAGAACCTGAACGAGTAAAAAGAGCTTAAAAATGTAATGAATCCAAGAAAAAATAGCAAAAAACTTATATTAAAGAGGAAGTATTTATAGTTGACAATAATGTTTCAGTATATGATGTTTGAGGAGAATCAGAACTTTTAAAAGAGGTACACTACAGTATTGAAGATATATCAGAAACAAAAGAGGATGGACAAGAAGAATATTCTCAAAACATAAAATGAAATGAATCTTAAGTATTTATTAGAGTTTTGAAATTGGTAGTTGAAATGTTTGATTCTGGATTTTCCGGGAATTTCAACGTAATACTAAATTAAAATTTCCATTGAATCCATAAAAAGTAGTAATATTATTACTAAGTAAGGGGTACTTTCTTTCGTACGTATTACATTTCATATTATAATAATTGAAGCAGTAGGCTTTAGCAGATAAATGTGTACAAAATATTTAAAATTTTCCAAACTATTAAATGAATATAGCTATATCAATATCTCAGCTGCACACCCTCCCACACGCATTATAATCAAATTGGCAAAGAAATTGTATAAAAAATGTTCATAAACTAGGTTACTGTTATAAATGATACATTAAACTAGATTGCATACCTTTTAATCAGGGTTGGGTTTTTGATGTCAAAAAGTGGTTTTTGTCATGACAAGAGTATAATACTGGTTTAAACTGTCAAAAACCCATCAAAAATGTCAAAAACTGAAGTTTGCCAAGAAAATATATAAACTTCAAAACTACCAACAACATTGATTAAATATTTACTAACTTAATTATACTATAGGTAATCAGCAGGTTTTAAAATATTTTTTAATTAAAATTAAGGTAAAATAACAGATTTAAAATCTCAGAAATTTATATTCAAATGCATGTGCAGAAAAATTTTGCACAAATTTTTTTTAAATATTTATATTTTGAAAAAAAAAATTTTTTTTTTGATACTTAAGAAAATTAAAAGTTTATTACTATGCATTTTTGACATATAAGGAACATATAACTAATATTTATAAGGAACTTACAAGTTATGTTGTATAAATACAAACTTGATATAAGATACAAGTGTATAAAAAATTTTTTTTAATGTTATACCGAATATCTTTATTATCCAGTATGTTAATTTGAATTTAAAAGTAGTTATATTTGTGAATAATGATAAATATAATTCATATTGTTTATTATATTTATTTATAATTATTACACTTATCATTTTAAAACAATTTTTATCTCTTAATTTTTTTTTCTCCACTTGTAT